CACTACTAAAATTTTGTCTTTTACCAACAATAAATCAGCAACATGAGATTGTTTGTTGCTGAAAATAGGTATCAGCAACAAACCCCATGTTGCTGAAAGTGCTACAGTGCACCAATCCATGCAAAAAGCTACCCCACTTTCACTAATACACTTCTTGTTGCTGAAAGTAACTTTCAGCAACATACTCCATCTTGCTGATATTTTCCGGTGAATTCTTTGCCATTTAAATGAGCTCCACTTTTCAGCAACGAGTTCCTTGTTGCTGAAAGTGTCTCTCTTTTGATCACCTCTTGCACTTTCAGCAACAAGCCTCTTGTTGCTGAAAGTGCTCCCAACTCCGGCCACCCCTTGCATTTTCAGCAACAAGAGGCATGTTGCTGAAAGTGTCTCTCTTTTGATTACCTCTTGCACTTTCAGCAACAAGCCTCTTGTTGCTAAAAGTGCTCCCAACCTCCGACCACCCCTTGCACTTTTAGCAACAAGGGACAGGTTGCTAAAAGTGTCCCTCTTTTGATCACCTCTTGCACTTTCAGCAACAAGCCTCTTGTTGCTGAAAGTGCTCCCAACTCCAGCCACCCCTTGCACTTTCAGCAACAAGCCTCTTGTTGCTGAAAGTGCTCCCAACCTTCGGCCACCCCTTGCACTTTCAACAACAAGGGACAAGTTGCTGAAAGTGTCCCTCTTTTGATCACCTCTTGCACTTTCAGCAACATGCCTCTTGTTGCTGAAAGTGCTCCCAACCTCCGGCCCCCACGTAGCAACCAATCCTAGCGACCGGGTGGGTGGCAGAATGAGATGCACTTTCAGCAACATGGTTCTTGTTGCTGAAAGTGAGTTTCAGCAACAAGAGCCATGTTGCTGAAATTTTCTAAATTTTACTAAAGCTTTACCCACATATATCATATTGCTATTGATAATCATCTCTTCTAGCCACTAATTAGCAACATGGATCATATGTTGGTGAAAGTGAGACAATTGCCCCTTCTTGCTAAAAACCTTTGACTGGTAGTTGATTCACCCTCTATATATACACCTCTCTCCTGCTAATATATACACATCTCCCACACTTCCTAATTTCTTGCTATTTCTCCCTCACTCTTGCAATTCACTTTTTTTATCTCCACATAATTATTTTTATATTATAATTTAAAAGTATTAATT